CAAACATGCCATGGATGTGTCACATTGACGCATTCCCTCCCCCCAGCTTTGCAGAATGCAGTAGCACTTAGATTTATCTACCGCTTCACAGTGCTTTACAGCCCTCTCTAAGTGGTTTATAGAGTCAGCCTATGGCCCCAAACAATCTGGGTCCTCATTTTATCCACCTCGGAAGGATGGAAGGCTGAGTCAACCCTGAGCCGGTCAGGATCGAACTGCTGGCAGCGGGCAGAATTAACCTGCAATACTGCATTCTAACAACTGCGCCATCACGGCTCTTTTTAGGCAGCTTTTCCTAATCTGGCATCCTTCAAATGAGCTATACTGGCTAGGAAGCGGAAAACCCCACTCTTGGCACATTGGCAGCAGAGAATATCAGCTGAGAAAGTTCTTTAAGTAAGGACAGGCAATTTACGTAAGAACATCTTCATAAACCAATTGGAAAGCAAGGATCCTGATTGAGGACCCAGTGAAGATTAAGGTTCAGCTCATCCACAAGTGCAGACCAGCCTGTTGGTCTTGGGCTGAAAACTATAGTCAGAACTGAAGGTAACAGCTTTCCATCCCTTTTGGTGTATAGTCATGCTGTCTCCTTTGGCTAACAAATGCAGGTGAGTCCCACCCCCCTAGAATCAGAAACAATAGGTCCAGAAACTTTTACCTTTGTTTTTCTACCTACAGAGTTGCCCCTGCATGGCCCAGACTATCAGAATACAATCTCTCTCTCTGTCTCTCTCTTTCTCTCTCTCTACCTCTGTCTCTCTCCCTCCCTCTCCCCCTCCTCCTCTCTCTCTATTTTATGATGGTTTCAGGGTGTTGTTTGTGTTTTTGTTTCATGAACCATTTGGTTAGCTTGCAGTTCCCTATACACGCATTACACAAATCCAGAAAGTGGACCTTAAAAATCTGACGAGAAGATAAATCTCAAAGATGCTTTGAACAGACTGTCACCTGATTAGTGAAAGAGCTTGTTGCATTATTAGCAGCTCCTCCTAATCTTTCGCTACTCCTTCTCCTTAAGGATTTTCAGTGATTTACAATTGTATCACAGCGGCCAGTTGTTTCGCCGGATTTGGCATTGNGATAAGTTCCCTCCCCTCTCGACTTGTATGGTTGCGTGACTCTTGCTTATTTTAATTATCTGTATTTCGTTTTATGTTCCCCTTTTTCCCCTTTTTGAATTGTTCGCCGCCCTGAGTCCTTCCCGGAGAAGGGCGGCATACAAATAATAAAATTCAAATTCAAGATCGACATTCCCCCCCCACTCCTTTTTCGGCCCCACTCTTCTCCAAAGGGATAATTTTAGCAGAAGTCAGCAAATTTAAAGAATCTCACCCAGCCAGCGCACTGTTCTTTTTTTCACTCTTTCCATTCCATTCTCCTGCGATTGAGCTGGTACAGCCTTGGATGGCACGCAGTGCTCTTCTTTTCTTTCTGCCAGCTTGAGAGCTTCCCTGCGTCTTCCAAGGAGTTAGCGATCTCTTTGTATTCTACAGAGTTTTCTCTCTTCTTCACCATCTCTCCGAGGTGGCTTCCGTCTGTTTGAACCTTTGGACAGGAAGAATCTCCATTGAGCCCTATGGAGGATCATCGTTCCGCTGCAGCATCAGTTTACATTTTGGGAAAGAAAATGCTTTCAGTATCCACCCTTTCTCCTGCATTTTTTTTAATTAATAAATTTTATTAAACAGGTTTTTTTTTTTTAAAAAGACAAAAATATTTTTTTCCAATTTCCTTCTGTACAGCATTTTCACCTCAGTATATATCCATTGTAAATGTACTTCTCCCCCCTTATTTCAGTTTCTCTTACGATACTATATACAGTCCTTAATTTACAATGTATACATGTTTGTTCATCTCTACCTATACATTGTTAATTTCTAACTCCTGTGTCTTCATTCAGTCTTTCCTTAAGCTTTACACCTCTCCTCTAGCCAATTTTACCACTCATTCCATACCGTATAATATTCTCTTTCCTCCCCTGCATTCTTAAATACGTATGATAAAAAAAGAGAGAAACGCTCTAAGCTTGATTGCCGTTCCTTTTTTGATATTAAGAAACTTCTCCTTCTTTGCCAACTCAAGACATTTGAAGGTGGGCAAGACAAGGACCTCTATTGCTGGAGGTTGGCAGAAGGTTTCTGAAGGAAGCTGGGGCAATGGGCACTTGCCCCCCTCCCCACTCTTTTGTTTTTCATGGGGTTCAAAGTATTTTCCAAAGCACCAAAAGCCAAGGCAAGAAACAGTGGATGGAAACTAAACAAGAAGAGAAGCAATCTAGAACTAAGGAGAAATTTCCGGACAATTATGACAATTAACCGGTGGAACAGCCTGCCTCCAGAAGTTGTGGGTGCTTTAATCCTGATGGCCTCCATGGTCCCTTCCAACTTGGTTCTTCAGTGTTCTAGAATTTAGCAAGGGACTGTTGTAACTCTAGCACAACCTGTTGCTTCTTGATGATTCCCACCTTAGAGTTCCAGCAATAAAGCTCCAACTGATTTTTGGCTGCCTTCAGAAACCAAGAATGCAGGGCAACCCCAAAGGAAATGAAGAAGATGGGCTAGAAGTTGTCCCAAAGAAAGAAATGAAGAGCAAAAGGGGGGGGGGAGTGAAATGCCGGAAGGTTGATCTGAGCAGGAGGCACAAACATTCTTTGCAGGATTCATTTAGAGGATAGTAATTGGACTGACGTGACTGTTTCAATAATGGCACTTGGGCAAAAGTCAAAAATTATAACTTTGGAAAATAAGATCCGTTGCGGCGGGTCAGTAAAAGTGGCTTCCCTTGGCTGCAATCTGCAGTGTTCCTTTTATTGCTTTGCTTGCCCTTTTAAGCTTAGCAAGATTTTGCCAGCAATGTTCCTGTCGTCTTTTTTTAAAAAAAGAAAATCGATTTGTCGTGAGGATCAGCTGTCGGTCAAACATGCCATGGATGTGTCACATTGACGCATTCCCTCCCCCCAGCTTTGCTTAATAGCAGTAGCACTTAGATTTATNAAAAAAGCCAGGAAAAGACGGGGGTCACTGAGGGGGTTTAATGCATTTTGCGCAGTTAGTTCCACACTCAAGATTTCTAAACTAACAACATGTTGTATGTCACTCATTTCCCCACCTGTCCTCTGGGTACACTGTGGCTATTAACCTCAGATTTTTCATAGGTAACATGACCACCAGACAATTCCTCACCCTTTTTTAATATCAGTAGCTTCCTCCTCCCCCTGACGGGCTGATAAAAAAAGCTATACTAAGGTCTCCAACTTCTCCTTTCTAACTCCATCCTTCTAAGGCTGATTTCTCCAACTTGATGTCCACCAGGCAGGTCAAACTACAACTCACATAATTTCCAGCCCATGGAGTCAAACATGGAGCTAATCCAATAACATCTGGAGGACACCAAGTTGGGGATCTTGGTCCAAGATCGACCCAAGAAATGAGCATTAATGTTTATGATGGAAGACATCAGAAAAAGAATCTATGCCAGCTACTTTGCTGCTCTTCTTAGTTTGGCAGCTCTTGCCATCGTGGGTCCTCCTTTTGGTCTAATCTGGAACGTTTGTGGACTTTTTCCAGGAAGTGCGTGAACTCCTGCCCTCCTGGCTACTTTGGGGACAGCCTGCAACGCAAGTGCCGCAGATGTCACAGGGGCTGCGAAGCATGTTTGGGCAGAAGTCAGAACTCATGCACAGCCTGCAAGCGTGGCTATTATCACCATCAAGAGACAAACACTTGTGTGATGCTGTGCCCAGCTGGGTTTTACTCTGAGGATGGTAAGAATGGAGAAATCAATACCAGCAGTCACTACTGGGTGGAAATGCCACCCCCCCTTCTCTGAGGGGACATTTGCAGTACAATCTACAATGGTTTCTCACCTATTATAAAAATTTTAAGTTCATTTTCATGAAAATGGCATGCTGTCTCTGTTTTCCTTCCTTCCTTCCTCCCTCCCTCCTTTTTTCCCTCCCTCCCTCCCTTCCACTCTCCATGTTTTCCTTCCTTCTTTCCTCCCTCCCTCCCTTTCTTCCTCTCTCCCTGTTTTCCTTCCTACTTTCTTTCCTTCCTTCTTCTTTCCCTTCCTCCCTCCCTCTCTCCCTCCCTCCCTCCATGCCAATTATTTTTATGTATTTTTAATTGTATCCATCTTAGTGTACTTTAGTTGGTCTCTTGCAAAACAGATCTAGAGTTACCATCATTAGCAACAATATAAAAACACATAAAAATAATTGGCATGGAGGGAGGGAGGGAAAAAAGGAGGGGGGGGGGGAGGGAGGGAGGGAAAAAAG